CCAGATTTTTGTATGGCTTCACAGCAGCTTTCCCCAAACATTATCATCATCATTCAAACATTTTGATAATTTTTTACATTTCAACTGGTTTAATAGGGCAGATTTATAAGGATAGATGCACAATATTCTCCGTGTTTGAAATGACTGTTTATAACTGCTCTAGCATTTCAGTGAAACCCAGAGTTAAAGCAGAAGTAAACATCCTTAACATCTACAGCTTTCAAAAACCATATATGTTTCTGCTGCCGTTTGCTTCAATGGAAGAGATCACAAAGACGATAAAAGGCCAGCTGGTGACGTTTTGTGGTTCTAATCGAAGGAAAATGCAATTAAGGTGCAACCAAGAGGAAATCAGATCCAGTAAAAGGAGAACATCTAAGGTGAGGTGAGCTTATTTAAGACTTTTCTGTGCACTGAGGGACAGACTTGCCCTTAGAAACAATCCTGCACGAATTGTCATAAATGAAAGAGGTGGGTTAACAAAACAGGACAATTTATCTGGTCTATTTAATGGACCAGATAAGGGTTTACCAACATGGTGCCCGCGGGCACCAAGGGGCCCTCAAGGACCACAAGGGGTGCCCTTAGAGTCTTCTAAAAATAGAACTCAGCTACGTTTGAAATTTCATTGTATTCTGTTGCTCTTCTTTTTTTTTAAAATCAGTTATAGAACATTTCATCATTTAATCATATATGGCATTTAAGCATTTATAGAGATTTCAAAATGAAAATGTCTAAAAGAAAATTAGAAATTTAAAGAAACGATAAAGATATGTATATAATGTATGAAGTTTAGGTGAAAATTGACCCTTGCAATTCACAGGTCAGTATTGGTAGCCCTTCCTGTGACTCAGTGCCCCTGAATTAGCCCTCAACTTTAAAAAGGTTGGTGACTGCTGGACTAGATCTTTTAATTTAGTATAAGAGACCTAATAAATTAATAAAACACCTATAGATGTAACCATGTTTCAATAACCTAGACGGAATGCTACAGAGATTGTAGTAGCAGATTACATTTACTCATTTATAATAATCCGAGTAACTTTTTAGACACAACAAAGGGGTATGTAGCTGTAGGTTTACTGCACTGTACCTTCTTTTTAATATTAAATTAAAGTAATGCAACTCCTGACAGGATTATCTGGGTACTCTACCAACTTTGACTCAATTCACTGAATGAAACACATTTTAACCAAAAATATTGAGACTTCAGGTTTATAAACAAGCATCACTGGTCAAAACGTATTTCCCTTTTGCTGAACCCTTTATGTTCAAACATACAGATTACACCCTGTAGATCAGTGTTTTTCAATCCTGGTCCTCAAGGCACACTGCACTGGAAAAACGATCTAGAAATAACAAAAAATGTCTTAAATTAAGTGTATTTACCCTTAATTTGAATAGGTAATTGAGATGGTTTGCCAATATAATGAATATTTTTACTCTTAAAATAAGATAATTAGATAATATGCACTTTAAATGTGGCAATGCAATTTAGTTTTCTTATTTTAAGTGTAAATTGTCTTGTTCCATTGGCAAGATGTCTCTTTTACCTCCTCAATCCAAGAACAAATACACTAATTTTAAGAAAAAATGACTTATCTAGATTTCTATTTTTTCCAGTGTGCCCTGCATGTTTTAGATGTTTCCCAGCTTTCACACACCTGTTATCAATTGATAGCAGATTATCAGGCTTTGCTGAACTGCAATCACCTGAATCAGGTTTGCTGAACCTCAGAAACATCCAAAACATGCAGAGCAGTGTGCCTTGAGGACCAGGATTGAAAAAAATACTGCTGTAGATAATGAAAACGTCTGTTTTTAGGTGTCAATGGAGATTTAGAAACATGCATTTCTTCTTCCCAATTTATTTATTTATTTTACCCTTTTATTATTCTAAATAACAGAGACTGCACATGATTTTCTACTTTTATGTACTTAATTTTTACCAATCAAACCAGATTAAAAGCATTATTCAAGAACTTCGCTAATGCTGCCTTTTTTACTTAAATTTGAAGTCATTCTTCAGACATCTACCAATTGTTTTTACTTATAAAGTACTGCTACTCTTACTGCTGCTCGTAGCAGGCAGAGATAGAAAGCTGTAGTTTTATGTGGCATCATCAGATTTTCACATATTTAGTGACTCATATTTATGAGTTAGAAGTTTTGCTCAAAAATGACAACCATGAACCTTTAATATCCACAGAAAGTTATCTGTATCAATACGATTATTGAGGCTTAATTAAAAGTTTGACTGAAATCTGATGCGTGAGGACTCACCTTCTTCCCGGTCCACTCCGCCTCCCAGTAGTAAGGGCTCCCTGCCAGGGGCTCCTTGCAGAGAACTTGCCTCCAGAAGAAGAAACGATCAGGGTGGTCAGGTGGGTTGAAGTTTTCAGCACACATGGTGACCTTATGCAAATCTTCTGACAGCTTCATGTGGCGATGCGCCGTGTTGGGGTCCATGGTAGGCTCAAAGCGAACTAACGGGAAATCAGAAAGCATCCTCAGGCAAAAGTGCTATAAAGTGTTTAATTTTTAGGAGTAAGATGGACTCACATTTTAACATATCCTCCCTCGTTTTAGGCTCTGGATTCACAAGTCTTATTGATGTCCCAGATGCTATAAAGAAATGCATAATTCCTTCATTCATTATTCAATAGCACATGTGAAATTCAAGATTTTGGATTGACTGCAAGTGAAGATACCTAGAGGTCGAGGGGGTGGGAGGGGTGGAGCGGGACCTGAAGCTTCATGTTCAAAACAGGTGAAAGAAATAAGGAAATAAAAACATAAAAACATAAATATCCAATTAAAACCAGAGCAACATCATCCCTATGCTGCTTTGTTCCAATTTTACCTTGATAATTTATTGAACCTCTAAACCTTGGAGGCTCGTGAGCTGTGAAAAAAAGAAAAAAAGAAAAATAGATTTCAACAAAAACACATTTATGAGTGATTCCAATTCCAGTCCTCTAGATCCGGTACCCTGCACATTTTAAAAACAAATAACCAGGTCGTAGGCAGGAATCTGGAAGACTTATGGGACACTAAGGAGGTCATTTAGCCATTTGATTAAAGTGCAATAAAAAACACATCTAAAAACTACAGAATGAAGGACCATGAAGGACTGGGACTGAAGATCTGATATGAAGTGTTTCAGAAACTTACAAGGAGGTGGTTGAGATGGTAAAGGTGGAGACGTGTCTATTTCTTCATAGACTAAAACAAAAGAGAGAACATTCTGTAAGAAGCAAGACTTTTAATCCTCAAACTTAAAATGAAACCTCTTTTAAAACTTAAGCATTTTCTGTGTGGCGCTGCAAGAGGAGAGGTTTCCAAACCTGAATCCTGTGTAGTGGCCTGACAGGAATGATCAGTGGGGACTGTGGTTTCTGTTTTAACAGCCACACCGTTGGGTGTTGCAGCCACAGGTTCATGACTCACTACAAAGAGAACAATGTTTTAGCTTTCCTGAGCAGGGCACCATTAGACAATGCTACAAGCATGTTAACATTTTATTCAACACTGTTATTTAAATACACAAAAATTTAAATGGATAACA